AAATGGTTTTGGATGATTCTCTGGAGCAAATTAGCGTGAGTGTTGCGGTATTTATTCACCAAATATGATATTGTTTTGATTCATGGGATGCCGTTGGCTGAGAATGGTGAAGAAGGGGTTTCTTTCTTATCAAAAAACAGACATGCCAAAAAAAGACATAATGAAGTCTTCAGCAACAACTGTGTAATCTTGAGACAAGCTCACCTGGCTTCAGTCCGCAGCACCGTGTTGTGCAGCAACCTTTGGCATACACAGGCCCTTTCACTTTCAATACAAGTCATCCTGCTTCTTCTTCTTCTTCTACCAAAACTTCTTTAAGTATAAGCATGTCTGTCCCTCTCCTCCTAAACCAACTTCTCCTCCTCTTATCCTGTCACCTGTCGCCTGGTTCCTGTCTTCCACCATCAGTCCCATTCCTCTGTTACTTCAGATTGCCTCTTCTCTCTTATTTCTTAATCTGAAGTTTTTCCCACACCTTCATTCTTCTGATTCCACTTTGTCAGTTCTTCCATCTAATCGTGATTTATCTTCCCTTTCATTGTGCAAACATGTCTTGTATCCTCTATCTCCACCATCCTAGTATAAAAACCTACATCCTAACACCAGATCTCTCTCTCTCTCTCTCCCTCTCCTCCACCCTCTTGATCCTTCATTTCCTCCTCTCCATCTACCTCCTATCCCCTCTTCCTCTCCTCCATCCACCTCTGATCCCTTTCTTCCTCTCTTCTGTCCACCTCTGATCCCCTTTTCCACACTTCCCTGAGTTGTGATCCCCCTGCGCTCCCCAGAGCTGTGAGCCATGTCCCTGTGTTTGAGTTGCTGGTGCAGGAGCCTGCATGTGTGGTGGCCCCGGGGCAGGGATGACACAGCCCCGCTGGAATGAGAGGGAACAGAGTCTGGGCGTTCCTCTACAAACGCACTATTAAACCCACTGCAGTACACAATGAGCTCATCTTAATTCAGGTCAGATGTACATCCTACATTTTTTCTTTCTTTTCTCTCTTCTTCCTTTTTTTCCCTAATTAAGTACACTGTATACCTTTTTTTTATGTGTCCTTCCCTTTTGTAACCTGCTACAACTCCTTATGCATGGGCTCTAAAGTTTGTACCTGGATTTGATTATTACCCATATTTGCCTGTTGAGAAAGGCATTTGTCAAGTTAGAGCATGAGGGCACCTCAGGCATTTTGTAGAGCAGCGGCACTCCTGCACTCAGGATGGACCTCCCTCCTTACCCCTTACTTTCTTATCATAAACAATAATAAAGGAAGTTTTGTTTAGATTTTGAAGTTCATGAGGTCAAACTTGGTCCATGGAAAGCCCATTATCCTCTGTAGAGGTGGGGGACTTTCTCTGTTCTGCCGCTGGCACAATAGATGAAAGCAACCCAGTTGTTTTGTCATACACGGGGAGCAATGTGTTTTACAATCTTTAAAAAAGTGATATTCAATACACCCTGGAAATCCATATATTCAGAAGTAGCAGCAGAGCTACATAACCATTTAATAACAACTGAAGTTTAATGTTTAAATGACTACTAAATCATATCAGAATCAAAATCTGCTGAGCTTAAATACCATGCTTTTTGTCGAGAGTTGACCAATAAGCTTGAAGTATTACAAAAAAAAATGCAAACCATTATCTAGAAATTACAAGATTATTCTGGATTATTTTGATAATCATTATTCATATCTATAGTCAAAACAATTATAAACTTCCTCAATATTCAATCAGCATATCACCAAATCTTGTCAAGAAAACACAGGAAGTTTACAGAAAAATGTGTCAGCTGAAACCATGGCTGTGCATGAAGCTCTGCATGTTAGATGACACGAAGACCAGCAGATATTTGTGGTACTTCCCTTAAGGGGCAAAAAGAAGGAGCACAAGTAGCTGGTGGCTCTTAGGTGTGAAAACACTGTGTATTTGAAGATGCATGGGAAACAGAACCGCAGTTTTACTTCCTTCAGTGCTTTGCACAGTGATGTGACAGCCAAAATTCAAGTTGCACGCATTTAGAGTCACAGTGGGGCATCACTAAATATACAGACTCAAAATTAGAGATAAATCCTCCATATAGAAATCTGAAAGAAAGTGGATTTACCACGCACACATGCCAAACTGCAAACTGCATTTGTTGTATGATGGACTTTTGGAGTAAAAAGAAATTGATAATGTGACATTTGTAAAGAATAAAAAAGAGACATATTGTCTTGGCTAGGTTGTGGCAAACCTAAATCGACTGAACTCAACAATCATTGGTTTCTGGTTTGCACTTCATGGGTTGCACAGTCTCATTCTCAAAGTTATTTAAACTGTTTGACAAAGGGATCTCATTCATTAAAAGCACCTGCCTTTAAACACAGCCAAGACTGAAACAAGCATTTAAATACCATATCGTTATAAACTGAGGATCGGATATTTTACTACATCTGTACTACAATCATTCCCACTTAACCCAGCTGCATTCAGGTTGATTATGCTACGTCATGGAAACGACTGGACTAAATTCCTCTCCTGAGCCAGAATAAAGGAATTTCATTTTTGATGCATGTGCCCACACCCAAACCAGCACATCTCCTCTTACAAGTCAAAAGGTTGAGGTTTCCACAAAATGTTGTTTCTCACATGGTTGACTAGTAACGTCCAACGCATTTAACTCTGACATAACTCAGCACCAGATGTTTATAATTGAAAAGCAGAAAGCATTCAAATCTGTTGGACGCCGCTTCCCTTTGTGTGATAATGATAGCCATGACATTAAGATCTGCTGGCTGTTCCTTATGCCTGGTTTTAACACTGGTTTGTGTCAGTGAGGCTCCCCAAAGACTTTGTTTAGGGACTTGGAGCAGAAGGGGAGAGAGAAAAAAACGAGAGAGAGAAAAGAGGTCCTCAGGTTTCACAGCTGCAGGCTCAGCTCAACCCTAAAGTAAATGGACTTGAGGAAAGCCAATCCTAATTGATTCCAAGCCTCAAAGCTCTTTAGTAAACATTGTGAAGCAATGAAAATGACTTGTTATCCTAATTCATTTGATGCTCACGCTGTGCAATCAGCAGAGTCAAGAACAAAGATGCAGATAGAAGATTAAACTCATTATAATTGGTGGTTTTTCTCTACTTCCAGATATTTTCTCCCCAGAACTCCAAAAAAAAAGGTTTTAATCTTTATGAGCATGCATTGATTAAGTGCACAAACAATTAATTCTTGGGGAGGATTATTGATTCTTAATTGTCTCAGTTTAAACTTAACATAAACTAGAAGCTTTACATGGTTGTCTTATCTTTATAAAAACATCAGGAATCAGATTTAAGGTTATACTGTATTTGAGGGGGCAACAACAGGTTTTTTTCTTTTCTTCACTGATCTGACCTTTAGTAGGCTTCCTAACAATCAAACCAAGAAGAACACATCTAGCTTGTGAAATGTCTGACTTGATCTCTGTGTTGGAAGTTCCTGTGGCGAGACCCTGTGCACAGAGTATTTGCTTTGCCCTAATGGCTTCCTGTGGAAGGACTACTTTTTACTGTAGGGGTTTCCTCAACCCCTTTTCCTGCTGATGTGAACATTTCCAGGTCTCAGTGTGAATCTACGCTTCCTTTCCATGTCATGTCAGGATTCCGTCCTGTAAACAAACGACATCTCTTAACAAATATGAATGCTGCTCTGGTAAAGCCTCACATAATGTGCCACACATAACTATAGCTAACACTTATGTGCCATTCTGTGGTTGAAAACCACCACCACATGGCAAACAAACTTTGGTTTTCAATTGATGTGTTTATGTGTGTGTGACAGCAGTAAAACCACCAGTCTTTCAACAAACCAGCAAGAGATCTGTGATCATAAAGAAGTGTGAAGAGAAGTGAAGTGGGTGGTGTGTCTGTGCTCTAGTGAGGTGAGGAGTGTTTAATGACAGGTAAAGTCAGGTGAAGCAGGCCAAGCAGAGTCTCTGTTACTGGCAGTGATTGCCGCTCCTCCAAAAGGGGGATGAAATTCCAACCCGCTCCCGACAATGAATGACGGAGTGTCAGTCAGGCTTAGTGATGGGCCTCCCATCCAATATTCACAAGCTCCTCAAGCTGTAAATCTACACAGGACAACCTCAACACTGCAAAGGCGAATAACACTGAGCCATCTCAATGTCTAACTTACATGCCACAGGTCTGGTTTACAATAACAAAGCCCTGGCACAGGTTTGAAGGTTGTTGGGGTTAAGAGACAAGAAGGGAATAAGGTCAGTAGAGTGAGTCATAGAGAAGAAAGTTTGTGCATGTATGTCATATATACATATATTAATTCATATATGACATATTATAAATGCATTATGTATAAAAACATATAACACACATGTTATGTATTGATCAGGATCCATAACTTAAACTCTATCTAACAAAAATCATTATTACTATTTTTTACTAGATCACTCAACACTCAAGGTAAATAATAGAACAGTACACCACACAGATTTCATTTTATATCATTATTTTCTGTTTCCAGTGTAATTATACACCTGTAGCAAGCGGGTGCACAGGTATCAGAGAAACAGCTCTAAGGTTGTGGCTGACATTCCCATGCAGTGAAAGCAACTATTTTAGAGCATGAAATGCTAAACTGTTGTAAAAGCGGTCACAGCTTCAGCAATGACCTCATCTTGTCCTCTGGGACCCTCTTTGGCATGCTCTGCGGTGGGACAATACTCAATGAACAGAAAAACATGAATCGCCGGCTCCACACACAACGATCTGAATGTAACACAACACTGACATAACCTCAGAGACTACGTGGAGATGACAATCAGCAGGGACAAAAAAAGGGACCAGTAGAGCCTGAGGCTGTGGCTATAACAGGGTAAGGTGAGAGGATACACTCGGATCATCTCAGGTAATTTTCAATCTGTCAGCAGTCCTCAATATTGCCTCTTCTACTCAGTGGCAAAAAGAAACAACAAAACTTCTCTCCCTCATTGTTCCAATCCTAAGAATATCCTTTGCATACTCACCCTATCTGTCTGTTGGTGGATGGAGCCTGAGTGATGACGGAGCTGGACTGAGGGGAGGGCAGGGCTTGTTGGATCACTATGCTGGTATCATGGTTGCCCATCCGTGAGTGGGAATGCTGGTGCTGGCCTTGGCCTGCCTGGCCGTGTAGTGAGATGTTCTGCAGAGATGAAGTGGAAAGAAAAGTGAGAAGGGTATACAAGGTTAGGGATCCTTTAGGAGTGTCACATTCTTCCCAGCAAGTTGTATTTTCAACACAACTGTGTGTAACAAGCAATTATAACTGTTTGGCCTTGGGCTCCATTCACCCAGCTTGAGTGAGTAATAAGGAACTATATAAACTATCATCTACTGGCTTTTTCTGGACCATTTTTGGAAACATTGTGAATCTAATGAAGAACGGGTGTCTTTATTGTTATTTGCCCAGCAGGATACTTTGTTAGTTTTAACCTCTGTTATTGTGTAATGTCATTAACATCCAAATACAACCCTGCACTGCAAGTAAAAACAAAGCCCCATTCTAAATGTGAATATCTTGAGACAAACAGCAAGTTGAAGTACTTAAGAATTAATCTAATGTAAGAAAAACATCTGCAATGATCAAATATAAAAGCGAGAATACAGAAAGTCAACATTTTGTTTTAATTGTAAAAGCATCTTACCTGGAATAACCATAGTAATTACCATTCAATCAATAAACTGTTTCTAAATGCATGTTTCAATGGCTTTTTTATACACTAATTGCTGTTTTCCTGACAAATTTAAGCTCTCTTTTGCTTATTCTACTTTCCACTTCCACAGATTCTTGCTCCGACTCGCCTCCTGCTGACTAAGCAGAGCTTCCCATCGTAAACCACACAGGCTGGGGAGGCCAGACGAGGCTGACCTGAGAGCAGACGAGCTCCAGAGCCAAACCACCCAGACGACAGCTTAGCTGCAGCATGCACTGCACATCTCTCCAGACATTAGATAAGCAGTCTGTCTTGTGGTGATTTGACGAGCATCCTTGTCTCAGGTGGAGGTGCCTAAGGGCAGATCTATAATGCATAAATGATCACGTCCTTTGTCAAATGTCAAAGCCCTGCTACTCTGCTCACGTGTGAGAATGTCTGGTCTGCTACAAAAGTTGTCTCAGGGGTCTGTCTTTGTGTGAGGGAAGAAATAGGACTCCCTCCCTTAGAGATAGCCAGAGATCTGTTTGAAGTTACAGGTGGAGAACCTGATCTTCTTCTAGTCACCTGTGGTGGGTTACAAATCTCCACCTGGTAGCCCTGTCTGTCACTGTCAACAAAACTGATGGGGATAGAGGAGCATGGTGTGTTGTGTACAAAAAATGCTAGTTGTGCAACAAATATCTAGTCTTTGGATAGAAAACAGAAATTACGGCAGACATATTGGATGTGTAAGTATACTTGTTGTTGTCAGTTATAGACAGGTTAGCAAAGTGCGTGTTTAATAGATGCTGTTTGGAATCTTTAAAAGTGTGTGTGTGAGATCATACTGTGCATGCTGCTGTTAGTGACATGACTGATGTTCATGTGTCTGAGGCTTTGGCTTCAGGTTTTTTAGTTGCAGTACCTGTTTACTGTCCTCTTCCTCCTGGGCCTTGCAAAACTCCTGCTCAATGGAGCAGTCCAGTTCACTGAACAATCCGACCTCCTCACAGTTCTTCAGGAAGCGTGTTGGTGTAGGCGTCTGGTCTGGAAATCATGAAAGTTTTTTTTTATTATCTTTTGAAAAAACCTACAGTTAACAGAGGTTATGTGCCAGCTTCTATCAGACAGTTGGATTATTAGCTTAAGGACCAATATCTTGGGGTAGATCATATTTGAGTGTTTTTGTGTGTAATTTTTCCTTTTTTTTTTTTTACAACAGACCATGTACAAAAGCAAACATAGATATTACCATTTGAGGTGGTATACCACAGCAAGCTTAAAGATAATTTATTCCACAATTAAAAAGACACTAAACAAACAAACAAATGAACATACAAACAAACGGGGAACATAATACAAAATTAGAAAGAAAATACAACATATATGTTAGAACAAATAAAAGCAGAAAAGTGGCATTACAGTAACAGACCTGAAATTGTTAAATTCTATCATTTTGACAGTTTAACTTTAAATCCAAGAACTTTGTTTTCTTGTTCTGTGATCTTTATATTTATGTTATGTATTCAAGCCCTTTTGATTCAATCATATCATAAATGCTATTTATTTCTTTTTTTTTGTTTCTATGGACAAATGTGAATCCAGCAAACACCTTAGAGAAACCAGTCGGGATCGACACAAGGACCAAACGTGTAAAGATAACCTTCTTTCTGTTAGTGAGAGAGAGATAGAAAGCTTGACAGCCCCATTTCAGCTGATGAAGCACAGATCCTACCTACTGAGTGGGGGTCTCATTTGTTGAGCCCAGTGAGGCCGTGGTATTCAACTTGACATTGTGGGGGTGCACAAAGATCAGGTTTCAGACAGTTGAAGGTGATTTGAGGATCAGGCTTGTTTCAAACGCTAAAAGCATACTTTGTGGTCTGTTTATCCATTCTGGCTACACCAGAGATGGATTCCAACCTCTGTGCTTAAAAACAGTTTAACTTCAATTATACTTTTCCCACTTTGTGCTGAGATTGCTACCCAAGTTCTATTAATAAAAAACAAAAGTAATGTGCGATAGGTTCAGGACCTCACCTATTAGTCAATGACAAAAATTAGCAATTAGAAGAGCAGATTTAATTCTACTTCTATGTGCGGCTGAACCTCATCTTACAGTAAATGCAACAACTATTTTTCCTGAGTTCACGTTCTCAATAAGAGAAAACTTGGAGCTGTAACTCAGACGGCAGGTGATAAGAACACCCGGCCTAGAAAATCTGATCCTGCTGTCCACTGAGCGTAAATAATAAAGAAGACACAATCTCAGCAGTGTGGCCTGACCAGCTCACAGTATTGTCTGCTTTGGCCGCTCTGATTCTTGGAATGGAGATCTATACTTTTTATGGATTGGCCTTGGTTTGGCTATGTTTCTTCGAACAGCAGATTTATGATCTGATCAGAATATCACCTGGGGCTTATATACCCCACCATTCATTGTAAACCATCTCCCACCGCCTCTACATCCTCAACTGTACTATTAACACGTCTGACGTTAAACATGCCCCCACCATACGTCTGTGTCTCTGTATCCTCCTGTGTGTAAGTGGTATGCACAGAATAGAGTTGTGCTGCAGGGTAAAGTGTGTCATATAATTTGCATTACTGTAAACAACCCGGTACAGACATGCTGTGAAGTTTTCTGATGATAGACAAGTGCGCTTGAGAGTGAGTCACCGAGGCACACACACCTGCAAATAAACTACAAGCTCCTGCTGAGGTATTGTGCAGGTCTGTATTGATGCAGCTGTAACTAACCTGATAACATGTTGTCGTTCTTTATGGAGGGGAACTTTAGGGTCATCTCATGTTTGTGTCGGTGTATCATCAGATGGTCCTCAGTGGGGAATCGCTATTGGGTTTTTAAAAAAAAAGTAGGGTTGTAAGAATTTGTAAAGACAAACAAGTGTTTCTTTTCACCTATTATAAAACACATAATCCCAAACAAAAATGCTTTACCAGAATATAACATTCACTTATATCCTATCTTTAAATGGAACGTCATGAACAAGCATCAATCGTTTCAAGTATCTTATTTTCTAAGGGTATTTTTTACACCTGAAGCCTTATTTACAGTTTGTGTTTCACTCAGTTCAACACTTATGTTCCATCCTTATGCATGAGGAACTCAGTAACCCTTCTCCTCAGACCTCCTCAATGTACACCTCTTCAAATTACAGGCAGACACACACACACATGCACACACGCACATATACACATCTGAGTTGTTGGTTTGTTTCGACACACTCACCTGAGAACAGCCAGGAGCGTTGCACACGTACGGCCTTTCCTGGTCCGAGTTCATCACTCTGGCCACCTTCTCATAAAACTACAGGAAAAAAAAAACACACACACACACAGAAGAAGAAGAGGAAGTGAGTGACTTGAGTTTCCCCGCCAACATACAAGAGGAAAAATAAGCTCATTGTGTAACGCCTGACATAAAATAGCCATTGCACCTGAAACAGCTGTGTGGGTATTTCACTAATAAAAATACATTTTTCTCACACTACGGTACTCTTGGATTCAATAAATATGACATCAAGGGAAAGCTTCTGGCTTTTCAAGGGCTGGAAATATGGTATTCAAGAACTTTGTGAAGAGTTATATGCAACGAGAAAAGCATTCAAATAGTAACTCATAATGAAATGGCAGGATGATTTGTTGCTATTTTCAAAACTTATTAATCACATATAGTAAAGACTACACTGAAGCCAGTGATGAACAAAAACAGCCATGTAAACAGAGGTACACACATATGAAGGAAACAACTTGGTGGAGTTTTAAATCAAATTACAAAATGGACAGTGACGAGATAAACCATCTTTGAAATTGTCAACCATACAACTACATCCCCATATTGAAGTTTCAACAGGGTGTCTTCAGATGTTTGTTCTCACCACAAAGTGAGAGAATCTGGTTTAGCACAGCTCTAAACATCTGTCCTTTATTAGTTAAGTGGGGGGAGATTATTGTTTTCATTTCAATATTCAGAGAGATATTTTGAACTTTAAATGAAAGGCACATCATTTACACCTTCGATAACCATGTGTAGATTGTCGTCTATGTTCAGGTTTAACTTGTACAGCAGTCATAAGAAGGTTTAATACACTTTTTGAATTGGCCTCAAAGAGAGATGGAGAAAAGGAAGGGGTTTCAGAGCAGCATGGCATGAAAGATGGACCCAAGGTTCAATACAGTTCTTCTACAAAACAACTTTGAAACACGAGTTAGCTTTAAGCTTGAAAATACGAGACAATTTATCTGTTTACCTGAAACTACTGCCAAATATGTGCTCTGTAAGTAATTGCTTCATACACTCCAGCCATAGCCATGAATCATGTCAAATGACAATGCCCTCAATTATTGTTTTAGAAGCTTTAATAATTTAGAGTGAAATAGGGGACAAACTTTCCCAGAAAAGAAGCGTGTGTGTATTATTGCATATTCTGTACATATCATCAAATGAAGCACAACAGGAAAGAAGGATGAGTTCTGCATTCAGCTTAATTACACATTGAAAGGTGCCTGACTATATTTATGACAGGACATCAGAGAAAAAAACAATAGCAGCCACATCTTTACAGCTTCTCAAGATCAAACAGAGTGCAATGACACACCAATGAAAAGCTGTGATGTGCACTTCAATCAATCATTGCATGGAGCGTACATGAGATGTGTCAGTCATTTATAAATATTCAAACCATAAAGTTTTACCACAGCTTTTATAATTGACTCATCCAAGAGTGCCTAAATGTTTCAGTTATTTAAGGCATAAAATGTTTTAAAATGGAAAGGTTAACAAGGCCTCTTCTATACCTGAAACAGACACCACATACTCCTGAATAAAGAATGCATTTTGAGTATTAAAGCTGTCCGGTGATCTAAACTGAAAAAAATTTACATATTTTACACCGTTAAATTTCAACTTGCACATTTCGATGACAAATAAAGGTTTTGTAGAGAGAAAAAAAAACGCATCCGATTATGGAACAGATAAAGTATGACTTGAGAAACCTATGTACTTTCCCCTTACATCATACATGCATTGACTGCTTGCTATTTTGTCACAGGGAATTTACGGTGTGATGTCAACTTTACTTATAACTGACAAACTCTGAGCAGTCACCACGTAGTGCTACAGATGTCCAGCTCCTCCTCACAAATGATTTATTAGATGTTAAGTGACTATGACAAGTGTTAAATAGTCTTTATTAATCCTCAGGAGCAGCAACACACCAAACCGGGGTTTGATCAATAGCAGGAGGATTTGTAACACTCACTGAACATGCAGGTCTTTCTTGCTTACAGGGAACATTCAAACTGAATACGGCTTGAGAATTGAACCTAAGCCATAGCATGTGGACGTCAAGAGAGCTTAGAGTTATTGCCACTCATTCTGTACTCAATAAGTGAATTAGGCCCTTACAAAACATCTGAAAGGGGCCTGGATGAATAAGGACATGACATGGAGTCTGTTAACACCCAAAAAGTAAAGTTAACTAAAAAAACATTTAAAGCTCCTGTGAGGAACTTTAAGTTTGTGTCGTCTTTGGCGCCCCCTGTGGACAAAATGGTACCTCGCATCTCTTTTCTGATTTTGTCCTGTACAACAAAAAATTCATCCTGATTTATTTTAAAAGTCAAATGTATCACTAATTGAGAATTGACAAATGTAAAAAAAGACTGTTTTAGTATTTTGGTGTTCATCACTTCATCTGACAACTACCCTGCAACAACAATTTTAGGCATTAAAAGCACCTGTATAGAAATACATGATCTTGGCACTGATGGTTTTGTTTGCTCTAATAGAAATGGTATTTAAAGGCATAACAACTGATTTTAGTCTGTTTCATAACCAACTAAAAAATCCTCACAGGTACTTTGAGGATTAACTATCTCCAATAATCTATGATGACTGAAACAAACTTTCTTCTTCAAGTATACCACAAATACAATCACATCAAAACAAGGTCTAGGTGGAAGCAGTTTGTTGACACAACAATGATGCAAACAGCGACATTAGGCGTGTGTAGTCACTGTCAATAATAACTGAAACATCTTCAGTATTTACAGCAGTCACACTGCATCTAACAGTTGCTTATTGACACACACACAACACAAAGTGTATTCCTTTTTACCTGCCCCTAGAATCAATTCAGAAAAATTAAGACACATCAGAATTAAGCTCAAAACCAAAAGTCATGTCAAGCATGAATACCTTCATACACTAGCATGTACATGTGTGTCGTTTTCATGGGTACAGACTATTTCCTCAAGCACAGTCAAAACATTCAAATATTGTGTTATGCTAAGCAGTGCTGTTTTCCTAACAGGCCGTACTTCATGAGCGGGCCTGCAGAACAGGGTCTGGACAGGGTCTCTCTGTCAGAGAGCAATGAGCCCTGCTCTCTCTTTCTGTCACCAGCTCACAGCGTCTCTTCTGAAGGGCCCCTCAAAACTCACCTGGTTTCCTCTGACACAACAAACACAACTCACGCTGCTGATCCAACACTGAACACAAACTAGTGCCAGGATGATTGCAAACTACAGAACAACAAATGCCTATGGTCGTGTCGCTGTTGTTGTTTCGGTTGAATCAAGACTTTAGACTTTATTATCTCAAACGCAGCTCCAGAGAACTTTTGTCAAATTCCTATTGCCTCTGTTTTTAGGCTTTCTTTCTGAACACTTGCATGACTATGACTCACGTGATATAAAAATAATTTTACAATAATTCTCCCCAAAGCATTCATTAGAAAAAGAGAAAAAGTATGTATGAATTTCAAACAGATGCAAACATTTTACCTTCCTGTTTCTAAAATGGGACTTCATAATTCCATCACATTTAGCAGGAAATTCAAACCATATGACACATAAAACATTTAACCATTCATTCTGTGAATGCCTCTGTGTATTATCCGATAGCTTTCACACTTCAAATAATCAGTGTGCAAAGCTCTTTCTTTGGAAATGGCATTTGGCTCTCATTTGATCTAGATGTTTCAGTTCAGCAGAGGAAATTTGGTTACACTTTACATTAACTATATCCGGATGTGTGCGAGGGGATGGATTAGGGTCTGGCATTTGATTTCAAGTGGATCTAGGGAGGAATTCTCCAGGTAGACTGCGTATTAGAGTTTAAACAATATGGTGTGGAAAAAAGAAGGGCTGGGGTGCAAAGGCATACGGGGTCAAAGCAAGCACAAACATGCGCAGCAATTCTAATCTCCAGCTCCCCACAGCCCAGGCCTTTGACAGCACAAGTTCAAGGTGGGATCACGGCGATGCCTGAGGCAGAGAACATGGCCCTCTTTCTTAGACAATGTCTGCCCTGAACTTCTGCTCTATGAAGTGAATGCGTGACAAAAAGACTGCTGTGATGTAAACCTCCAGACCGATCAATTACCCCTCTCTTCAACACCATGTAAACTCATAACAAACACAAAACTGTCCCCTCAGCGGGCACAAAGACTCACACGCATCATTTTACTCACAAAAAGTTTGAAACAATTGATGTTATAAAGTATAAAGATAGAAAGTTCTATAACAAACATGGATGAAAACATTACTTTAAAAACAACATGTGCAATAGTTTTAATGTTCTCGGCCGCTCTGTTGATTGGGCTGTGTGGTTGTTGTTACGATTTTTGTTATTTGAACCTTTTCTACATTCGTATAATCATAGAGAGAGGAATGTTTCACCTTGAACACATGCATACCGTACAACAACTATCAACAAATAGAGGTCACATTTCACTGCTGAGATGAGCATGGACTTTAATCAAGCTGAAATGTGTGTAAAACATGGGAAGAATTGAACGTGTATCACAGTTCATAAATAAAACAAGTTATCCTGTTATTCAGAGAATATAAAGTTTGTGATTTTGAGTTTGCTGTTTGTGAAAATAAGGTTTTAATATAAAAAACACATTAAATAAATTATTTCCGAATAAGTTTTGTCAATTTTAAAAGATGATAAAATACATTACACTTGCTAAGGATACGTGTTGCAAATAAGAGGACAATGTGGAAAAAAGTATTCCTTTCCAAACCTTTTCTCAGCTGTTACTACAAAACATGTAAAGCGTTCAACAAAGTTCAATATCAAAGCAGTCCTCAAACTAATCTCAGTGTGTTTCAAATCATCACATTACTTAAATCAAATTAAAACTTAAAGACATCATATGTTATTAACGAAGCCAATTGAAGGGACACAATAAAAGCCTCCACGTTGATCTAAAGCAGCGCGCATTAAACGAGCTGTTATTGATAGTGTTGTCACATAAACATAATGACAGCAGAGACTAATCAAATGATTAAAACATC